GAAATGGAGAAGGAATTGCAGCATGACCATAACCCACTGGGAGTACTTTCTCCTTCTTCCCATCCCGCCATCTCTCTCTCTGGTGAGTGTAGGTACCCTGTGGCATTTTTTAAAAATGGCAATAACCATTTACCCCACAATTATAAGCACAATTGCAGATTTTTTAGGTCCCCAGGTATGCTTCTCATTGTTGCTGTTTTTATTTTTATTTTCTAATTCAGTCTTTATTTTTAAATAGTTATTTTATTTAACTTTATTATTATTATTTTCGAGTCTGATCAGAGAGAGGGAAAGTGAGAAACCAAGGCACCAGATCTGAGACTCAAACCATGGTAGGCCATGTGAGAGTCTAGCACCTCCAACCACCACACCGCCCTCTGGCCCCTCAGTTTTTAAATAAAAGAAGACTAACTAATGGAGGGCTAGCTTGGGTTTCTTTTACTTCAAAGGAAAACAACTCCAGGAGCCTTATTTTCCTAAATAACTCAAAAAGAATGATTAAAAACAAATACATGGGAGCCTGGCAGGTGACATGGTGGTTAAAGGCGTTGGACTCCTACATGAGTGACTGTGGTTCAAGTCTTGAACCTGGCAGCTTTGCTTGCTTTCTTACTTTCTCTCTCTCTCTCATTGTGTCACTCTCAGGTTTAAAATAAATAAATAAATAAATAAATTTCAAATAAAATAATTATTTAAAAAAATACAGGGACCAGCAGTTGCATAATGGCTATGTTGCTGGACTCCCATGTAGTTGATTACAGATCGAGTCCTGGACCCAGTAGTTTAAACTCACGGGGGGGTGCATGTGTGTGTGTGCCTAAGATCCCAAGAGGAGTATGGAGGAGACAGGATTGCGGCATGGCCATGCTCCCTGGAAGGAAGGAAGGAAGAAAAAGGAAGGAAGGAAGAAAAGAAGGAAGGAAGGAAGGAAGAAAGGAAGGAAGAAAGGAAGGAAGTGGGGCCAGCAATGGTGTTGTGGTTAAGGGCACTAGACTCCCTCCCACACAACCAACTGTGGTTCAAGTCCCAGACCTGGTGGCTTACTTTCTCACCCCCAACTCCATCCTTCTGTGGTCAAAATAAAAAATAAGTAAATAAATAAAGTTAAATAAAATAATTATTTAGAAAAAAAAAAAGAAAGAGGAAGAAAGAAAGGAAAATGTGGTCCCCTTTTCAGGCATGGGCTTCTTAGTGTCTGTACTAGGCAGTCTTTTCTAGGGAAATAGAACCAATGTATATGGTTATACAAGATGGGATTGATTGGAGGAATCAGCTCATGTGATTATGGCAGCTGAGAAGTCCCACAACAGGCCATCTACAAGCTGGAGATTCTGGGATTCTGGTAGCACGGATCAGTCCAAATCCAAGAGGCAGGAAAGCTAATGATGTAACTCATAGTCCAATGCTAAAATCCTGACAACCCAGGAGTCTACTGGTATAAATCCTGGAGTTGGAGAGCAGAGGAGCTATGTTCTTATGGCCTTGAGTTCTTATCTGAAGTAACAGAGGAAGGCTATCTTGCTCTGTCTTAAAAGAGACACATCATCGGGCCAGTAGTTGGCATAATGGCTATGTTGCTGGACTCGCACTTGGTCGCCCACAGTTCAAGTCCTGGACCTGGTGGCTTAAACTCACGTTGGGTGCGTGTGCATGCATGTCCAAGATCCTGAGAGGAGAATGGAGGAGAAGGGGTTGTGGTGTGGCCATCCCCTCACAGGGGGGATCTCTATCTTTCTGGCAAGTGCATGAGCCCTATAGCAAAAACCTAAAAAAAAAAATAAAAATAAAAAAATTAGAGAGAGAGACACACATTGTCTTCTGTATTTGTTTCCTTTGGGCCCCTTGTTGTTTGGGTTGTGCCTGCTGTCACTGCGGACAGATCTAACATATCTAGTCTATTCATTTCCATGTTAATCCCCTCTAGAAACAGCCCCATGGACACAGGCAGAATAATAGTTTTTCTAGTTATTTCTTAGTACAGTCAAGTTAACACCCAGAACTAACCATTACAATGTCCTTTGGAAGAAAAGCCAAAATTATGATCGCTTTTTCTAGTTAAAAATTCTTTACTAGGTTGGTCTTTCAGCCTAGTGGTTAAGGTTACCAATTCCACAGGGCCAACTGAGGTTTGAATCCCAACCTAACAGATTAGAAAACATGCTGGGTATGTGTGTGTAGCTGCCTCAAATCCTGACAGGATGGAGATATAGAGGAGAAGAATTGCAGCATGACCTCACCCCATCGAGGATACTTTCTCACTCTCCCTCTCTTGCTCTGTTTTTCTATCTTACTCTGGCAGGTACACATGCCTTCTGGCAATTAAAAAGAAATCCTCATCTTCAGCCTGGCTCGGTGGCACAGAAGTTAATATACTGTTCAAAGACCAGGGGACCAGCAGTTAGCATAATGGCTATGTTGCTGGACTCCCATGTAGTCGACCGCTGTTCGAGTCCCGGACCCAGTGGCTTAAACTCACGCAGGGCACGTGTGCGTGCATGCCCAAGGTCCTGAGAGGAGAATGGCGGCGGAGGGATTGTGGCGTGGCCATCCCCCCTGGGGGGTGATTTCTCGCTTTCTGTCTCTCTGTCTCTCTGTGTCTGTCTGGCGAGCTTACGCGCCTTATAGTAAAAACCTCTCCAAAAAACCAAAAAAAAAAAAAAGAAAAAAAAAAAAAAAAAAGACCAGCAGGTGGTGTGGTAGTTAAGATTCTGGAACTCCCACATGGCTGATTGTGGTTTGAGTCTTGAACCTGGTGACTTGCTTGCATGCACTGGACAGGCACAGACAGAGAGACGGAAAGCAAGAAATCACCCCCCAGAAAGTTTGGCCACGCCACAATCCCTTTCCCTCCATTCCTCTTGGGATTTTGGGTACACACAAACATGCACCCAGTGTGTTAAGCCACTGGGTCCAGGACTCGAACCCTGGTTGACTACCAGGGAGGCCAGTGACGTAACCATTATGCCAGCTGCTTGCCCCAGGGATCCATCTTCTTAAACTCCATGCCACGTGCTGGCCACAAGTGACCACATTTTCAATACAAACACGATTCACCTAGCAGCCTTTATTCAGAATGGCTGTTTTTCCTTCTACACCAATTCTATCTTCTACCTGGACTAATTTGTGTATATAGTCATCATCTTGTTATTGGTCGTCTCTTTCCAAAGGTGCTCACATTTTCCTGTCCTCAATTACTTTCTATCTCTTCTCTGAAAACATAACACATGCAGGTGTGTGTGTGCACGTGTGCACATGCACCTTATCTTTCCTCTTCATGAACCCTCAATGTAGCTCTGCCTTCTCTACTTCGTGTGTTTGGAAGGAAAGAAAGCAAAATATATGAGATGCCAATGCAATTTCTCCTTTAGCAGCACTCAGCAGGACAATTACCCACCCAATCTGCCTGGCTTTATAGCTCTCATAACCCTCCTTTATGAACACACTGTGACAGCTGGATGTGGGCATTGATTATTGCGGCAATCTTTTGCCATTCCTATTTTAACTGCAAAGCAGAGTTCCTGCCTACCAGCCCAGAAGTGATCATGTGACTTTTTAAATTACTGTATTTATGGAAGCTTTTTCTCAACCAGATCCTGTGTCCAGCTCCATCAAAACCGGGGAAGATCTGTGCGTTCTTCCCCAGTGACTCTCCGCCCTATAGCCTAGGGTAATCTTGCTGGAATCAATTTGGGATTTCTCAGGAAAGATTTGTAATGGTTGTTGGGATGCCAGGGAAGCACTTTTTTTTTTTTTTTTTTAATGAATGAGCTGAGGAGATAGATAATAAAACACGTTGGCAGATGCCAAAGGCAGTGGTCGATTCCCAGGGACTTGCCTGGCAATGGTGCCTGGTGCAATAGATCAGTAGAGGTACAGGATGCTGGAGAAGGGAAGAGTAGAAAAGGTAGAGACTCCGGACCAGCAGTTAGCGTAATGACTATGTTGCTGGACTCCCATGTGGTCGACCGTGGTTCGCGTCTCGAACCTAGTGGCTTAAAACTCATGCCAGGGCGTGTGTGCGTGTGTGCCCAGGATCCCGAGAGGAGCATGGAGAAGGGACTGCGGCATGGCCATTCCCCTTGGGAGGTGATTTCTCGCTTTCTGTCTCTCTCTGTCTGTCTGGCGAGCGAATGTGACCTATAACAAAAACCTCTCCAACGGGGGGAAAAAAAAAAAAAAAAGGTAGAGACTCTAGAATTGGGGGAATTACAGAATGGTGTTCAATATTACTGTTAGTTGGTCTTGCCCCACTGGGCTCCAGCTTCACTGTTTACCAAGACAGAATCATATTGACTGTTTAGTGGGGGAAGGAAGTTTCAGTGTTGAAAATAAATATTGATAACCTGGTGAGCAGTCTTTGTCTGATTGTGCCCTGGTACAAGACAAGTCTGGCAGAGAACGCCAGTGTTCTTTAGCTACGGCAGCTTTGCTAAAGATCCCACTGCGGGCTCCCAGGGATGCAGTGGTGGCAGGTTTGACTGGCTTATTCTACCGAAAAAACTAGAGAAATTCCGAAAACTGAACCAAGATGATCTGTGTGGGTGGGAGATCCATTAGCCGAATGACAGTGCTGCAGCAGGAAATCAGAAAGAGGATCTGCGTGGGAAGCGCAGAAACGTGGGCTGGGCCTGCAGCAACCGAAAGGCACCACACACGTGTAAAGAATCAGAGTCCAGAGGTGGCTCTCAAACCGTGCAGTCAGGAAGCCTGGCCCCACGAAGATACAACAGGCTCTCTCTGTCTTTAGTAGCTCCAAATCCAGTGCTCCTTTTACCCATAAGTAAGAAATTGGATGAGAGTCCAAGAAACGTCATTGTTTAGACCCCAACCCTTTTTCACCCCGAGTCTACGGGATGTAAGCAGTAGGCTCACGCACGTCGCCTAGCTGGAATTTTTTTCGACTTGGCCTTTCCTGGGCGGAGCTTAGGATCCCGCCCACTGAGGCCCCGCCCGACAGCCGCCCCGGGGCGGGGCTCCCCTTGGCTCCCGCCTGCCCTTTCCCCTGCGGCCTCTGAGCGTGCGGGTTCGTCTTTCCGAGCTCCGAAAACGTGCAGGTGAGTAAGGGCCTAAAGGGGAGAGGTCTTGGAGTTTCACCAGACCGGGGCAAGAAACCGTGCTGGAAGGCTTATACTGAGGCACGGGACGAGATTGGGGTTCGTTCTCTCGTGACCCCGGGCGTGGAAGGCATGTTCAAGAGACACCGGTAACCTTAGCTCCAGAGTCGCCTCTTGTTTCCTACTATCCGTTGTCTCCATAGGGAGTCACCGAGAGCCAACTACTGAGAGCCTCGTGGCCAGGCGTCCGGCTCAGGAGCTTGGGACGGTTTGTTTAAGAACACGTGTCTGAGTGGAACTGGTTCAGCCCCTTCGACCCAAACTCCGGACAGGGACAGCCACTTTTTAAGATACTGTGTTTTTTTTTTTTTTTTTTTGAGAGGTTTTTGCTATAGGGCGTGTGCGCTCGCCAGGAAGACAGAGACCGAGAGACAGAAAGCAAGAAATCACCCCACACACACACTCCCACCCCGGAGAATGGCCACGCTGCAGTCCCTTCTCCATTCTCCTCTCAGGATCTTGGGCACACACGCACATGTGCCGGGCGTGAGTTTAAGCCACCGGGTCCGGGACTTGAACCTTGGTGCACTACATGGGAGTCCAGCGACAGCGACGTAGCTATTATGCCAACTGCTGGTCCCAAGATTCGATTTTAGAATCAAACAGTGAGCCTTCTAGTCATTTTCCTGTTTCTCTAAATTATTTTGGAGTAGAATTTGAGGATGACTGAAAAAATATGTGGTCTTACATAACCTTATTTAAGGTAAATTATAATGGTGTATGTGCAGGGATGTTTATTAACATTTTTGCAAAAGTTTTGGTGATTTTTTTTTTTCAGTTGAGGTTGGCAGGAATGACAGTGCTGTTTTTATTGTCCTTCAAGATGTCCATATTCAAGGCTTTTTTTTCTCTCTAGTTTTAACTATCATTTGTGATTTTGATTGCCCATTGTACTTCCTGGGTTACTTCTCTCTTCTATTCACCCTTATTTATTATATTTATCTTTTCCTGTCCTAAAATGTGGTTCCTTAAATACTGAGATCCCACCGTATACCAGATATTATCCTTTAAGTTTAATTTATATCCCACTTAAGTCTCCCAACCACCCTATTTACAGAGTACTGTTAATAATGCCCCCATTCTACAAGGAAACTTAAGTCTTGGGGTTAAGTTACTTGCCTAGTGTCATTTGGCCTCTGAGTGATAGAGTCAAGCTTCCTGATACTTGTTGAATAGATCATTAATACATGAAAACAAAGCTGACCACAAATAAGCTATTGTTTGATTGTCATTGTTTCTATAGCTCAGGCCTTGCTAAGTTATGGGATTGTGATGGCAGGGCTTATGAGTTGCACGTGTATTCACTTTCTTTAACTGATTAACCTGCAATGCTTTGATTGCAGAAGGTTCAGCTGTGGACTTGGGCAGCTACAAACTCTGTAAGTACAAACTTGGGCAGCTACTGTACTCTAAGTACAGCCTTTTTAACCCCCTCTGGCCCCAGCCGTAGGCAGCTGCCTAGGTTGCCTTGTACCTAGGCACGTGTTACACTGCTGGGAGAACAGCAGCAGATAGCTGGTTGGCATTCTGGGCCTGGTTCATGCCAACTCTGTGTTAACTCTACCAGGATGCCAGTATAGTTTATCCAAAGTTACGTCTGCAAAGGGTGAAACTTGGGTAGTATGAAGTTAGGTGAATCATACCTTGGAAACAAAACGGGTAATCTAGCCTGGGTGGGTATGTATAAATAGAAGGGGCAGGTCATGCTTTATTTTTTAAAGCCTAGGAAGTAAGTGCTCAATGGGGATCTTAAAAAGAGAGGAAGGCAAAAGACATTTTGCAGATTTCACTGAAAAAGGCATGGCTCTTCGGCCATCATACTATTTAAGATCCACTTGTAGAAAAATTTCATAGGCATACTTATCTGTGGGATTCCCTGTTGGGGAAATATTGATGTGATTTGCTCTTAAAAAAAAAAAAAGTATGAGCATTCCTGGGCCTGCAGGTGGTGTGGAGGTTAAGGTAGCTTGATCCCACATGGCCAACTGCACAATTCAAGAGACTTGAAAAACAATGGAGGATGCAGATGGCATAGTGGTTACATTGCTGGACTTCCACATGCTGACTGCCATTTGAGCCCCAGACCTGGTGACTTGAAACTTGTCCCTGGCATGAGTGCACATGCCCTATGGCAAAAACCTTAAAAAAATAGAATGACTAGGGACCAGCAGGTGGTGTGTTAGTTAAGGGCACTGGATTTCCACATGGCTGACTGCCATTCAAGTCCCAGACCTGGCAGCTTGCTTTCTTGCTTTCCTGTTCTCTCATCAAATTAAAATAATAATAAATAATAACAAATGGGATTAAATAAATCTTTTTTTTTTTTTTGAGAGGTTTTCACTATAGGGTGCATATGCTCGCCAGAAAGACAGAGAGACACAGAGATAGAAAGCGAGAAATCACCCCTTGAGGGGGGATTGCCACCCCACAATTCCTTCTCCTGCATTCTCTTGGGATCTTGGGCACACACGCGCATGCACCTGGTGTGAGTTTAAGCCACCGGGTCCAGGACTTGAAGCGTGGTCGATGATGTGGGAGTCCAGTGACATAGCCATTATGCCCAGGGAAAAATCTCTTTAAAATAATAAAGGAGAAGTGAGAAAGCAAGCCACCAGATCCAGGACTCGAACCCATGGCTGGCCATGTGGGAATTTCCAGCACCCCAACCACCATACTGTCTGCTGGTCCCCCCGTGTTGGTTTCTTAACTGATTTATAGGTGTGAACAGAGTTGTTGTGCCTTTAGTAAGTATTGGGTCCTCCCTGTAGTGATTTTGTTTTGGAATGCTAATTTTTTGAGAATAGATGATTCTCAGTTCTGGGCAATCACTCAGTGATTCTGGAGATTGTCCAGTAGGATTGACTTACTTCCTACTACTGTGAAAGAGACATACTTTCTATAGGAAGAACTGGTGAGGATGTTAGGAGGCATGGGAGTTACTTATCAAAGCTTGTTTTGTTCCATCAATTGGCTTTCCCTTAAAAGGATTCTTTCAGCTAAATGTTGAGTGTTTTGTGTGAATGCCTCAAATGTTAATTGTGAATAGCTTTTTATATATGGGATCTTAAGACTAGTGATATCTAGAAGGCTTTAGGAAGTTATTTTTTGCTACTCATAGGCAAGGAAAAGGCAAATAAGGGGAAATAAAATAATATATAAGTACATGTTTATATTATAGAATGATTAAGTTACGAATTTACAAAATCCATCACTGTACATACTGATCTTTTGTGATGAAAATATTTGAAATTTACTGTTTGAAGTAGGCAATTATTATTGATTTAATTGTGATCACCATTCTGAGCAGATCACCAGAGCTTATTCATTTATCTTCCATTTTAGGATAATATGAAAAGCAGTGGCAGGCAGTCTGCGTGTAGAGTTTTCAGGTAAATATTTCTGTTTGTTCCAATAATGATTACCTCCTATGATTACCTTTTCCACGCTTCTTGGTATCCATCAGGAAATAATTGGGAGGCAAATTCACTTCTACATTGCCCCCCAACAAATTCAGCCTCTGGGCAATGAAAAGATGAATAGGGCCTTAGTGATTTATGTCAAAGTGTGTTGATGTTTTTTAAGGTTAACTGTGCCGTTCCATCTGAGGGACCTATAGGGACATTTTTAAGTTCTTTGAGGGAAAGGATAGTGTATCTTAATTGTTCATCCCAAGCACAGTGCTTGGCATATTGTGAAAACTCCCTGAATACTGGATAAAACTACTGAAAGAATGGGAAAGGGTTAGTTGTTTCTTTAAAGGGTTTGGCAGCAATTAGTACTTCCAAGCCTGTTTGTAGTCCACATTCAACCTATGGTCCTAACCTGGATCCCATATTTTCTCTCTGGGGTGCCTAGCAACCCCTGAACGCATTTAGGGAAATTTCCCATCAGAAAGTATGGAAGTGGAGGACCAGCAGTTAGCGTAATGGCTGTGTCGCTGGACTCCCATGTAGTCAACCGCAGTTTGAGTCCTGGACTTGGTGGCTTAAACTCAAGCCAGGCGCGTGTGCGTGCGTGCCCGAGATCCCAAGAAGAGAAAGGAGAAGGGATTGTGGTGTGGCCATCCCCCCTGGGGGGTGATTTCTCGCTTTCTGTCTCTATGCGCCCTATAGCAAAAACCTCTCCAAAAAAAAGGAGCTAAAAAAAAAATACGGAGGTGGTGGTTACAATGGCCTTTAGCCAGAACCCTCCTGGCAAACAAAACCATAAAAATGTTTCTGTAAATGCTCACAGATGGGCTGATAGGGTCACAATGGCAAGTACCCTAATCAGCCCCCCTCATTTTCATGACCCTATCTCTACCCCTCCCATATAAAAAATACCTTAGTGGGGTAGTCTGAAGTTTCTCTAACCTCAGATCCTGGTGGCTTCTTGCCTGAATAAAACCTTGTGTGAGTCAGTCAGTCCTTTGTTAAACCTAACACTTAGGGATCTGGAACAAATAAGAAAGAGAAAACTGTTTAGAAATCATCCAGCAGTTGTCAGCTGTCCAGGCTAGTGTGATGCCTGTGATGGTGTTACACTGTTGGAAGAGTAAGCACTGTCTTTATTGAGGTTTGGCTATAAGCACTGTTTTGGTGTGACAGCCAAGAACCTTTGGGCAGTGTTTTGCACCTCTGAGAGTGGAGTAACTCCTCCTGTGGAGTTGGTCCTAGTCTGGGTGCAAACAATTGTTAGTAGAAAAGCACCCTTTCTTGGGACCAGTGGATGTTGTAATGATTACATCACTGGGCTCCTATGTAGCTGACCATGGTTCGAGTCCCAGACCTGGCGGCTTAAAACTCATACTGGGTTTGTGTGCCCAGAATCCTGAGAAAAGAATGGAGAAGGGATTGTCGCGTGGCCATCTCCCGGGGGTGGGGTTGGGGAGGTGACTTCTCACTGTCTCTCTGTCCTTCCAGTCAGCACATGTGCCCTGTGTTTTGTTTTTTTTGTGTTTTTTTGTGTTTTTTTTTTTTTTTAAAAAAAAAGGCCCTCTCAATTCTTTACCTCCTTATATTCTAGATGCCTTCACCTGAATGAGAAACCTGGCAACACCAAGATAAGTAAATGAATGTAGTCCTTTTGTCATGTAGATTTTAATTAAATTATTTCAGCTCAGAGAAGTAGAAAAGGTACAGTTTTTAAAAATCATGGAGAGGGGACCAGCAGTCGGTGTAATGGCTATGTTGCTGGACTCCCATGTAGTCGACCACAATTTGAGTCCTGGACCCAGTGGCTTAAACTCATGCCAGGCGTGTTGTTTCCAAGATCCTGAGAGGAGAATGGAGGAGAACGGATTGTGGCTAGGCCATCCACCTCCAGTGGGTGACTTCTCACTTCTGTCTATCTTTCTGGCGAGTGCATGCGCCCTATAGCAAAAATGTCTCCAAAAAAAAATCATGGAGAGTATCTAAATTTTAGAAGAGCACTTAGAATCTAGAGTCCAGTCTTCTTTCTAGCACTCCAGCGTTCAATAGCTATATACTAAATGCAGCTGTTTAAGATGAAATAGTTCTTTATCTGTTACTGTCCATTAACTACAATGTTGGAAAGCTCAGAGAACGTTTTAACCAATGCAGAAACTTGATTATTACACAAGAATGCAGGGGCTGTCAGTCCCACACTCAGGAAGAATTAGAGTTGTCACAAGGACCAGCAGGTGGTGTGGTTAAGGTGCTGGACACTCCCACATGGCTGACCATGGTTCGAGTCCTGGACCTGGTGGCTTGCTTTCTCACTCTCTGTCTCTCTCTGGTCAAATTAAAATCAATGAATGAATAAATAAAATAAATATTATATTTTTTAAAAAGTTGGGGACACAGAATAGGCATAGCAAACCAGGGAGTTTATTGAAGGAGAAGGCAGGCAGATCAGCTTCCAAGAAGGGAGGGGTCCCAGAAAATGGGTTGTTGAAGAGGAACTGTGGCAAGTGGTTTTTATCTGGGTCTGAGGGACTTGTTCAGTCTGTTACTAGATGGGCCCAATTATTTTCTTTCTTTTTTTTTTTTTTTTTAGAATTATTTTTATTTTTCAATTTTGACCAGAAAGAAAGTGTGCAAGTTGCCGGGTCCAGGACTTGAACCATGGTCAGCCATGTGGGAGTCCAGTGCCCCTAACCACTATGCCACCTCTGGGCCCTCACTGTCATTATTTGAATTTGACCAGAGAGAAGGAAAGTGAGAAAGCAAGCTGCCAGGTCCAGGACTTGAACCACAGTCAGCCATGTAGGAGTTCAGCCGCCTTAATCACTATGGCACCTACTGGCCCCAATGTATTAATATTTTAACATCTCTTTTGGATGTGTTGGGGCTGTCTATTAAACATCCAAAAGTTATTTTGAGGTCAAAGAACTTGGTTTAGAATTTGATTTTGGGAAAACCTTGTCAAAACAGCAAAAAGCCTAGATAGTTAACTATCAGAGAAAATGAAAGCTAAATGTTTTAAGTACCTTAGGGATAAGCCTGAAAAAGTCATGAATTTATTTTTCTGTTAGATATCTACCATATAAAATATAACACATGACTACTAGTTGTTTTATTAAACTAACCATATTGAGATATCATATTGGTGCCAGTAGGTTGCGTGGTGGTTAAGGTGCTGGACTCCCACATGACTGACCAATGTTCAAGTCCTAGACCTGTTTTCTCACTTTCCCTCTGTCTTTCTCTGGTGAGCACATGTGCCCTATAGCAAATTTAAAAAAAAAAAATGATGTTGCATGATTAATAAAAACTCTGGAGAAACTGTTGGAAACATGATTTGTATGTATTAAACTTTTTTTTTTTTTTAGAGAGATTTTTGTTATAGGACACATGTGCTCACCACAGAGCGAGCAAGAAATCATCCCTTGAAGAGGGGGTGACCATATCACAATCCTTTCTTTTCCATTCCCCTCTGGATCTGGGACATGCACGGGCACCTGACATGAGTTATAAGTTTGGGATTCAACCGTGGTCAACTACCTATGAGTACAGTGACATAACCATTACACCATCTGCTAGTCCAACCTTTTCCCCTTTTTTGGGCCATATTTGAAGTTGGCTTATTTACTTAAGTTGTGTGAATTTGAAAAGTATTTATATTAATTTTATGAGTGCTTTTTTTTTTTAAGTTTATTTAATTCCATTTGTCTTTTTTTGGAGAGGTTTTCGCTATAGGGCGCGTGCGCTCACCAGAGAGATAGAAAGAGAAATCACCCCCCAGGGGGGATGGCCACGCTGCAATCCCTTCTCCATTCTCCTCTCAGGATCTTGGGCACACGCACCCGGCGTGAGTTTAAGCCACCGGGTCCAGGACTTGAACCACGGTCGACTACGTGGGAGTCCAGCGACATAGCCATTACGCTAACTGCTGGTCCCCCATTTGTCATTTTTTAATATGACCAATAAGACAGAGATAGAGAAAGGGAAAGTAAGAAAGCAAGCCGCCAGGTCCAAGACAAACTAGTTGGCCACATGGGAATCCAGCTCCTCTGACCACCACACCACTTGGCAACCCGTGCTCTTATAGACTTTAAAGTTTTTTATATATATATATGTGTGTGTGTATATATAGCCATATGGGCGTGTCCATCGCCCCAACCACCACACTGTAGAGTCTGGGGGAAAGGAAAAGAAACATGGCGGTTCCCACTAGTGGGAACCTTTAGGCCTTCAGCACACCCACCACCAGTTGAACAGAAACATTGTCTCCCATTGGCCGGGACTGGATGCTATAAGAGGATGAGCAGCAATCCTTTGGGTATGACTCTCCCCCCACACCCCCACCCCCGACCCTCGACCTCTGTTCAGACCGTGGGACCTCACCCAAGAGCTTTTTGCAGAATAAATCTTGTTGGTTTTGCTAAACCCCAAGGCCTGACTCTGGTATTTTCATCTTTGCTGTCTCTTACTCCGTTGCCACCACTCCTAAATCAAACATCCGGTGCCAAAAACCAGGAGGGGCTGGATGCCTCTTGGAGTCATCTGGCTGGTAAGCAATCCCACCCGTTTTTTTGGAACTCTGGAGTTTTCCTGTCTAGTCCCAGCCACACCAGGAACACTCTACATCCATTCTGGGTGCCCTAGGGTTACCCTAAGGATTGTCTTATCTCAGGGCTACCTGGATGACACTTTCCTTACCCTCCTATCCATGGAGAGATTGTACCGAAGGGACACCTCTCAGCTCATTCTACCCGAGGTCTAATCCATCATGGGGTCTGCCACCTCCAAACCTGATCCAAAAACCCTTAAGAGTGTGTCCTCTGTTATTAGAAAAAGCTAGATTATGATCACACCAAACAATCAAAACACCACCTGGCCTTCCTGTCAACCAAGGCTGGGCCCAAATATTCACTAAATAATGGATCTATCTTGCCACCTGAGGGCACTTTTGATTTCAATACTTTGACAGACCTCACCGATTTTTGTCAGACTGCTGGCAAATGGACAGAAATCCCGTATGTTCAGGCTTTTTGGTGTCTGCCTTCTCATCCCCATTTCTGTATCATCTCTCCCAGTTTTTGCTTGCTAGGGCAGACGATGGCTAAAAACACTGGCCAAAAAAACACTCCTATCTTTTCCAGGGAAACTTTTATTTTATTTTATTTTTATTTTTGAGAGGTTTTTGCTATAGGGCACGTGTGCTCGCCAGACAGACAGAGACATAGAGACAGAAAGCGAGAAATCACCCCTCAGAGGGGATGGTCATGCCACAATCCCTTCTCCATTCTCCTCTCAGGATCTTGGGCACACACGCACACGTGCTCGGCGTGAGTTTTAAGCCACCGGGTCCAGGACACGAACCACGGTCGGCTACGTGGGAGTCCAGCAACAGCCATTACACTAACTGCTGGTTCCCTCCAGGGAAACTTTTGACCTCCCGGAATTCTCTCCACCAAGACCCCCTCCTGGCCCCCCATTAAACTTTCCTATCTCCCTCTGCCCCCCCACCTCCCTGCCCCTAGAATTCTCCCCACTCTACTCAGCCAACAGTCCTTCTGTCTTCCCCCATTGCTGGCCGTACACACTCAAATGACCCACTCCTACCCCAGGTCATGGCTTCCCTACAGGAGGTGGCCAGGGCTGAGGGAGTTGTTCAAGTCCATGTTCCTTTTTCCCTTGTGGATCTGTCCGCCATTGAGAAGCACTTAGCTTCTTCTCTGCCAACCCCACACAGTTTATCAAAGAATTTAGATATCTTACACAGGCCTATGACTTCACCTGGCATGACATCCACATGATGGTAGACGAGCATGACTGGGTACAGCTGGCAGGAAGAGTATGCTGACAGGGCCCACATGGCTGATACCACTGCAGTGGTAGATACTGAGGCAACCCCTGCAGCTGATCCCAGCTGCAGGCATCACGACTGCATGTCATGATGCCTTACAGCAGGGATGGAATGAGCAGCCCAAAAGATAGTAAATTATGACAAATTGTAAGAAGTCACCCAGGGTCAAAAAGAAAATCCAGCCAACTGTTTGAGCCAACTCTCACCAGAGGACCCTACCCGGGGCCAAAGTTGTAGCCACCCACTTTATTGCCCAGTCAGCCCCTGATATCCCTAACCCCTCGACCCTCCTTTCACACATCCCTCCCTCCACTTTTCAGTCCTGGACCTCAAGGACACCTTTTTCACTCTCACTCCATTCAGACTCCTACCCCTTTTCGCATTCACTTGGGAGAACCCAAATACTAATATCTCAACAGCTCACTTTGACTGTCTTTCCTCAGGGTTTTCATGACAGTCCTCACACCCTTGGTTGGTCAAGCCCTGGCAAAGGACCTCATGAACTGTCCCCTTCATCCTTCTAAGGTTCTCCAGTACGTGGATGACCTGCTTACCTGAAGCCCCTCACTGCAGGATTCACAAGAACAGATGGGCACCCTCCTTAATTTTCTGGCTGCCAAAAGATATCGAGTGCCGGAACCACCATCTTCCAGTAATTAACCAAAATGACGAACACAAAGG